GTCAACTCCATCGTATAGTTATCACATCTGTATGTATTGTATAGTCATCACATCTGTATGTATTGTATAGTTATCACATCTGTATGTATTGTATAGTCATCACATCTGTATGTATTGTATAGTTATCACATCTGTATGTATTGTATAGTTATCATATCTGTATGTATTGTATAGTTATCACATCTGTATGTATTGTATAGTTATCACATCTGTATGTATTGTATAGTTATCACATCTGTATATATTGTATAGTTATCACATCTGTATGTATTGTATAGTTATCATATCTGTATGTATTGTACAGTTATCATATCTGTATGTATTATATAGTCATCACATCTGTATGTATTGTATAGTTATCACATCCTTATGTATTGTATAGTTATCACATCAATCTTTCTTTGTCAAAATTCATGATAGCCTTTCAATTTATCATTGGTCTTAAATTGAACTGGCACAATTACTTATATGTATTGTATAGTTATCATATCTGTATGTATTGTATAGTCATCACATCTGTTTGTATTGTATAGTCATCACATCCTTATGTATTGTATAGTTATCACATCTGTATGTATTGTATAGTTATCACATCTGTATGTATTGTATAGTCATCACATCCTTATGTATTGTATAGTTATCACATCTGTATGTATTGTATAGTTATCACATCTGTATGTATTGTATAGTCATCACATCCTTATGTATTGTATAGTCATCACATCTGTATGTATTGTATAGTTATCACATCTGTATGTATTGTATAGTCATCACATCCTTATGTATTGTACAGTTATCATATCTGTATGTATTGTATAGTTATCACATCTGTATGTATTGTATAATTGTCATATCTGTATATATTTACATGATGTTTTGTGTTATGTTTGTATTGTATAGTTATCACATCTGTATGTATTGTATAGTTATCACATCTGTATGTATTGTATAGTCATCACATCCTTATGTATTGTATAGTCATCACATCTGTATGTATTGTATAGTTATCACATCCTTATGTATTGTATAGTCATCACATCTGTATGTATTGTATAGTATAGTCATCACATCCTTATGTATTGTACAGTTATCATATCTGTATGTATTGTATAGTCATCACATCTGTATGTATTGTATAATTGTCATATCTGTATATATTTACATGTTGTTTTGTGTTCTGTTTGTATTGTATAGTTATCACATCTGTATGTATTGTATAGTTATCACATCTGTATGTATTGTATAGTCATCACATCCTTATGTATTGTATAGTCATCACATCTGTATAGTATCTGTATAGTAGTATCACATCCTTATGTATTGTATAGTCATCACATCTGTATGTATTGTATGTATTGTATAGTCATCACATCCTTATGTATTGTATAGTTATCACATCTGTATGTATTGTATAGTTATCACATCTGTATGTATTGTATAGTCATCACATCCTTATGTATTGTATAGTTATCACATCTGTATGTATTGTATAGTTATCACATCTGTATGTATTGTATAGTTATCACATCCTTATGTATTGTATAGTCATCACATCTGTATGTATTGTATAGTTATCACATCTGTATGTATTGTATAGTCATCACATCCTTATGTATTGTACAGTTATCATATCTGTATGTATTGTATAGTTGTCACATCTGTATGTATTGTATAATTGTCATATCTGTATATATTTACATGATGTTTTGTGTTATGTTTGTATTGTATAGTTATCACATCTGTATGTATTGTATAGTTATCACATCTGTATGTATTGTATAGTCATCACATCCTTATGTATTGTATAGTCATCACATCTGTATGTATTGTATAGTTATCACATCTGTATGTATTGTATAGTCATCACATCCTTATGTATTGTACAGTTATCACATCTGTATGTATTTACATGATGTTCTGTTCATGTTTGTATTGTATAGGTGTCACATCTGTATGTATTTACATGATGTTCTATGTTATGTTTGTATTGTATAGGTGTCACATCTGTATGTATTTACATGATGTTGTATATCATATTTGAACATTATTATGTTTATATTAGGTCCAGAACATGATTTTGAAATGTCAATATCCTGATTATTATAAGGTAATTCCAGTTTTTTTAATTGAGTGAGTCATGATACAGTCAATAGTCACTGATATCTTGTGATATCACACGCACGAATATCATATGCACTCATTCCACTGAATGAACCCGAAAGTATGTACATTTCTTATTACAAATCGAAAACTCGTAAACTCTGAACTGGTCAGGCGTGAGTTCTGATGCTTTAAAATACATGATATATAGAAACAGTTAGTAATATCAGACATTTTATGTCCTATAAATAAATTGCATATGTTTTAGTATTCTTATATTTCTTGTAAGTCAAACCATGGACTACATTCACAGGGGGTGTTGTTATTGTTCCAGATCTGCAAAAATAATACAAAAACCAGCATTAGAAAAAACAATCACAAGTTATAGTTGTAAGTTGTAAGACCGTTACATAAGTCCCCGAAAATATCCCTGTTATCAAAGCCATTTTTATTGCAGTAGGGGATAATTCTACTCAAAAGCTACACTAGAGCAAGATTCCTGACCTAGACCACAGAGGCAGTCATACACGACTCAACTAAACCTGTGGCCAATAGATGACACCGGACTGGAAAAACACAACAAAGAAAATGCTGACATTTCACAAAATATTACTTCAAATATAAATTCAACGAAAGTATGGGGTGTTGTTATTGTTCCAGATCTGCAAAAATAATGCAAAAACCAGCATTAGAAAAAACAATCACAAGTTATAGTTGTAAGTTGTAAGACCGTTACATAAGTCCCCGAAAATATCCCTGCTGTCAAAGCCATTTTTATTGCAGTAGGGAATAATTCTACTCAAAAGCTACACTAGAGCAAGATTCCTAACATAGACCACAGAGGCAGTCATGCACGACTCAACTAAACCTGTGGCCAATAGATGACACCGGACTGGAAAAACACAACAAAGAAAATGCTGACATTTCACAAAGTATTACTTCAAATATAAATTCAACGAAAGTATGGGGTGTTGTTATTGTTCCAGATCTGCAAAAATAATACAAAAACCAGCATTAGAAAAAACAATCACGAGTTATAGTTGTAAGTTGTAAGACCGTGACATAAGTCCCCGAAAATATCCCTGTTATCAAAGCCATAAAAATCGTGATATAAAATAAAGGGAAATAATTTGAACTACCAGGAAATCCATACATTCTGTGACCATTTCAAGGCTACATATTATTTTTATACCTTAAGATATATTATTAAGTAAGGTATTATATTAACCTGCTATATCAATAGTTTTGTGTAAGATGAAAAATACGGGAAATATGAACATCGTCATGTCGTTATGACATCATCTGATTGCAGTTTTTTCAAAATGGAATCAGAAGGCTGGAGAGAAAGTCAAATTCATTTCGAAAGTCATCCGATGGAAAACTACCAAAGCAACAATAACAGAGATGGTAAATATATTCCAGCAGACAGGATCTATGAAAGACAAAAGACGCAAGAACCAAGCACGTCCACAGACTAGCAGGTGCGCCGAGAACATTGTGGCTGTTCAGAAAATTATATAAGAATTTTCAGAGAGGTCAGTTAGAAAAGTGCTAGATGACATTGGAAATATGGGATCTGCTAATTCAAGGTCTGGCTATGAAAAGGTTTACAGAATGTTTGGAAGATTTAACTTAAAGTTGTTTCCATGCAAAGTCCCAGTGATGCAAAATTTGAGCGATACAGATGTTACAATGAGACGACAATTTGCTCATTGGATGACTAACAACATTGGTATCACCGATGGCGTATGGTTTTCAGATGAATCCGCTACACTGCACCTTGTATGACTGATACATACATCATGTTTCAATATATACTAGTTTAAATGGAGGCAAACAAATGTTCCGGACACAAAATTTTAACAAAGGGCAGCAACTCTTTATCAAGGAGTTGTATTCCCTGCATCAATAATTAGATTGTATCTAGAGCCATCGTAGAGAGATCGGCACAGCAGAGCTCGAAATGAACACACCACGAGGTCATTAACCGGAAACATAAATGTGTTTTTTCAGAGGGCATGCGCATGAGTAATGAATACAAAATAGTACCGGAGACCGGGTCGTAATATTCGGAACACGATTTATAGTATAATTCAATATTGTTACATCCTTTCTCCTTTATAGAAAGAAAACTAATATAATTATTATCATATTAAGATAGCATTAAACTGTTGACCCATAAGATAGGAGTTAAATTGTTATAAACACTGACTAGAATAACTTAACAATTACTTAACTAATAACACAGTCTCTTTGGCAATGAATTGAACTAACTTTAAAATTAAACAATAAATGTAAATGACTTGAAAACTACTTGGATTAAGAGATTACTCCTTTCCAAAGATAGTGAATGGCCAAACTTGTTGGCAGTAACTTGTGAACTTAAAAAAAAAACAGAATTTGGAATTGTATACATTAAAAATATTCAGACAAAAAACATGTTACGGAAAGATACTTTTGAAGCATGGATAAAAGTCTCAGAAATGATAGATATCAAACGTTTTGATTATCTTTTAAAATCGCCAATTTGGTACAATAGAAATTTAAAGAAGTAGTGCAATATGGTTACAAAACCGAAATAAAATCACAGAAATACCTTACAAAATAACGGAAAACAAAGAATTTTTTTTCCGACGTATCGTTTTAGAGTAATTGGTGTAAATGTAATGCCCGTACGAAAACATACCTTTAAAATCGCAAAATTAGGGAAATCCCCTTTTTCACCGAAAGTGACGTAGTATGAGCAACATAGACGCGCTGGATTCGACTTCACTGTTATCAACAATAAGGTAAACACTGATCGAAATTTGCCGGAATCCGAGTAGTTTTCGTTATTCCAAGGTTTAGACTGTAAAGACTATTACTATCAGGATCATTTGGTGAAAAATGATCCCTTGGATATGGCAAGTTCTCGCCACAAGGGCCGCCGTTGTGTAGTAGCTGGGTGTAGTAACACTGCGGGTGATGGCGTTTCAGTGCACACATTCCCATCTGATAGTCGAACTAGGAATGCATGGAAAAGGTTTGTGAAGCTGACCAGAGCAGACTGGGAAGAGCCTTCGAGGCACAGTGCCATTTGTAGTGCCCATTTCACACCTTCATGTTTCGACGCGCAGTATGACTTGAAGGCGAGCTTAGGATTTAGAACAAAGAGACGTCTCAACCCCGGTTCTGTGCCGTCCATATATCCTAAGAGGGATCATGATCACCTAAACGAAGTTTTTTTTTTATCTTCTCCAGAGAAGAAGCCAAGGGAGGCTTATGCAAAAAGAGAAAGCTTCAGGGTAAGAATGATAAATTATTTTACAATATTAGCATGACATTAGGGAAATCCTTTTTTCTGTAAAAAAAGTACATTTACAGGTACTTATAGTAGGGGATCCATCCAATCCCATTTGTACTTATTTGACAAAATCATTATAAATATTGGAATCTTAAATTTCAAGTATGAAAAACTGCGTTATTAAATAATCATGACAATTAATAAAATCAATGAAAATTAATAAAATAAACATGATAAATGGAAATTAATATAAAAAAAACAATTTAGTATAATTTTATACAGGGATCAGTTCCCTAAAGCAAACTTGAGAAATACTGGGTCCCCTTAAAATGTAATACTTCAACCAAAATGCTATATCTATATTCTTATGCCATTGAAAAGAAATATTATATGGGCATATCGTACGTGTACCTAATCGCTAATGTATATATATCAATAGCATATTTTACAAACGATAATATACATGTATTATGTGGTAGTATATTTGTTGCTGTACTGTATGTTAGGTACGGTACTGTAATATACAGTATAATTCTGTACAGCATATCCACTTGAAATGCTTTCAATGAGAATATTATTTATGTGAAGACATAACCCAACCTTTACTCAGAAACGTGTGCAACATTTTTTTTTTCTTTTTTATTTTAGGTTTTGTCAGAACTGATCACAGCTGAAACTGTCCAAAGTGTGACTGCTTCAACAGATGTTGCTGAGCCAGATTTCCATACATTTTCATCAGTTGCTGATAATGTGGCTCAAACTGATAAGGCTGAATGTCTCTTGCCTCAGCAGGACCGGTAGACTCGTCGTCAGTCAGTTCTATCTGGCCGGAATCGTCAGAAAAACTATCCAAAGCATCGCTCTCACTGTCTGTAATACTGCTATTATCCATCTTGAATTGATATGTGTTGCTCATACTACATCACAACACTTCCGGTTCTATATTTAGCAAAACCGGAAGTTGCGTTGATTGTTTTTCAAACAGGTGCAAAACAGCAAAATTCAAGCTGGTATATCTCGGCAAATACTTGACCGATTTTCATACTTTTTTTTTTTAATTTTCATTTATTTGTATTCCCTTTCTCAATAACGAAGTGAAGATTGGCGTCACACTACTTCTTTAAAGATTGGCGAGAATTCTGAATTTTTTTATGACTTGTATTTACAAAATGTAGTTTTTGTTGGAGATTTAATTCAAGAGGATGGTGGATTTTTAAGCTATGGTGGCTTTAAAAAGAAATATAATATAACTTCTGGAAACTTTCTACATTATAAGATTCTTTGTGAATCATTCAAAACCTTTATGAGAGATAATGATATTAGAGGACATAATTAATCTATTAAAAAACCTTTTATTCCTTTCCACATTAATGTGATATCAAAAAGATCAAAAAGGAAGTAGTGACATGTACAATACTCTCATTAACCGAAAAAACCCACAAACACAGCAATAGACAATTGGATAACTATTAACCAGTCCTGTTCAAATATGAAGAGGACAGGAAATTTTGCTCTCCCTTTCAAAATTACAAAAGACAGCAGTATTCAATGGTTTATTTTTAGACTTATTTCTAGAATACTCTAAATCACTATCTAAAAATAATTGGACAACGCGATTTATGTAACCTGTGTAAAGAAACTAAAGAAACCATTGAAAACCTTTTTTTTTTATTGTCACACAAAACTTCTGGCTGGCCATATGCAGATGGATACACTTAAAAACCAACCAATCTTTTGAAATTAAAAAAAAAGATATTATTTTATTTGGTAAAACATCTGTCTTTCAAAAGTCTATTCCAGCGAACACTATTATGATTCATGATATTCTTTTTATCTACTATAGCTCTAGACAGAAAAGAAATCCGAGTTTGACCGAGTTAAAAAAATACTTATCAAATATGTATGAAATTGACAAAGTGATAGCCAATGGAAAAAATGAAACTGAGAAGTTTGAGAAGATATGGGCACTATGGTCAGGTATTTTACCACGTAAAAAACGTTGAAAGTATCAAGCCAATATTATTGCAGCATATCCTCTATGAGACAAGATGAAACCATAGCTGAAAACAGTGACTGTCCATCGGATAAATATCTTGTGAAAGTGTGAAACCTCAACATATCTTTTTTATGGGACAAATAATTAATAAAGTTTGAACTTACCAGCATGTACTCTCAAAAAATAGGGATACGTGTTCTATATTTAATTGTATATATATGTACGTGTGTTTGTGTATATGTATGTATAAGTGAGTGTTGGTATGTATGTGTGTAAGTAGGCATATGAGTATGTACATATATGTACGTATGCATGTATGTGTATGTGCGTGCATATGTATGTGTGCTTGCATGCATGTATATGAAGATGAATGCATGCATCCATGTTTGTATCTATATATTGATGTAATTATATATATTTGCCTGTGTGAGTGTGAAAGGATGTTTGAAATTTGTAAAAAAAGCATAAGAAAAAAAAAAAAAAAAAAAAGGAGTAGTGTTTTGGAGCAAAATATTGCCTAACTTAACCTTTGATGCCCCACCCAAGTCCCTATTGGTTAAATTAACTTTCTGAATGTAAGAAATTATTCTTTACCCACAATGATGCTTTTACCACACATTTTAAAATCCATTCAAGCATTAAGGAAGAGTAGCTTTTGGAAGCAAATAATGACTTACTTTCCCATTTGGAGCCCAGCCCCCAAGTCTCTGGGGATCAAATCACCTTTCAATTTTAAGAAATGATAACCAACTTGCAACAATGTTTCAGACCAAACGTGGTTGAAATCTACCCAGGCATGAAGTCGCAGTAGCATTTTAAAGCAAAATACTGTCTATGTTTCCCTTTTCTCAAAGTCAGGGTTTGAATCAACTTTCTGAATTAAAGGATTATTTGTTAACCCCTTTTGATATTACAGACAAATTTTAAATGAAATCTATTCACGCATTAAATAAAAGTAGCATTTTGAAGCAAAGTATGGTCTGGCTACCATTTTGGGGCCCCATGCCAAGGTCCCATGAGGTCAAATCAACTGTATGAATATCTGAAATAATTTCCCCATCCTCAATGATCTTTAAGACAAAATTTGATTGAAATCTACCAAGGCATTCAGCAGGAATATCGTTTTAAAGGAAATGTTTACAGAGAGTGCATGGCACACGACAATGGTCCTCTTTATGACCCTAAACTGTTCACACCTATACATTCATGAATTAACAGTATCAATTTAATTGAAAAGAATCTTCTATGATTTTAAAGTGGTGTATTTACAAAAAAAAAAAAAAAATAATAATAAAAAAATAAAATAAATATCAGTGTGAGGAAGTCTATCAATAAAATAAATACTCACCACATGGAAAACATATATATATAGGATAATATATAGGATTATATACTTTTCTGTCATTATTTATTTTGAGTTTTTCTGTTCCAGTATATCAGGAGAAATAACAACATAACTGTCCCATTATATCATGGGATATTACAATATAATTACCACAATAATGTTCGTCCTCAGCTTGAGGACAGTCTACTTTGCCATCACACCATTTCTCCTCTTTGACACAGGTGGCATTAGCAGGTATATGGTCAATTCCTGGGGAAATACAGGCCATCTCTCCAGCGAAACAGGCTGTCACATAGAAAAAGTATCTACTCTCTAGCAAGAAAGACTGTCACATAGAAATAGTATATACTCTCCAGTGCAACAGGTTGTCACATAGAAATAGTATATACTCTCAAGTGAAACAGGCCGTTACATAAAAATACTATATTCTCTCCAGTGAAACAGGCAGTTACATAGAAATAATATATACTCTTCAGTGAAACAGGCTGTCGCATACGAAAATATATACTCACCAGTGAAACATACTCTCATATAGAGATAGTATATACTCTCCAATGAAACAGGCTGTCACATAGAAAAAGTATACACTCTCCAGCGAAACAGGCTGTCGCATATAAGATAGTATACACTCTCCAGTGAAACAGGCTGTCACATAGAGATAGTATATATATATCTAGTAAAACTGGCTGTCCCATAGAAATGGTATATAATTTTCAGTGAAACAGACCATCACATAGAACTAGTATATACTCTCCAGTGAACCAGGCTGTCACATAAAATAGTATATAATTGAAGTAAGAATACATGCTGTAAATTATGCTTACTCTTCAGTACCATGAAACACACTTTAAAATGATGACTTATGAAGTTTTCCTGGAGAAAAGGAAGTTTAATAACACAATAGGTCATTGAGCTTTTCAGTTGAGGCCCAAAAACAATGAAAAATTGAGAGTTATGAATTTTGTTTATATGAGCATTTAGTTGAATTTTTACTTTAAAGAAAATCTATTTTATTGTGACAAATCTGACCAAGTGTGACATACTGTTAATATCGAAGAAATGTTACAGTTTTAAACCCTGGCTTACTAGTCTGACGCTCAACCAATCGAGTTCTCTCTAGTTGTATATTGCAGTTAGTATTTTATCTGGGTTACATAAATAATTGAAAGCTTTACCATTATCTGAACAGGCTACTGCAACCTGGTTTTTATCAGTACATTTATCCTTCTCTGTTCTACACTCTGACAATAATTTCTCTGAACCATTGCAGTAAAATGCGATGTCCGCCAAAGGGAATTTCAACGTCCTTATGTTAGCATACTCTCCCTCTAAATAGGTACGGGTGTAGATGTTATCGGGGCTACAACATAAATTAAAATCAGTACATTAATAAATACCCTACTTTCATATTGAAGTAATTAAGACAGGGCAATGGAAACGATACAAATCTTCTCCCTCACGTTTATAGTGAATTTGTGTTGCATGTAGGATTTTCTATAAATAGAACGATGACATTAACGTTGACCATGGAATGCTGAAACACAAAATTGTTCAAGGTATTATGATACCTGATCATTATGTTAAACTAGAATAAAATCGATGGAGAAATGAAGTTGCTAGATTGCTGACAAAAAGTGAACATCTGAAACACTACACCCCCCTCTACAGTCACTGCAAGGGGATGATGATTTAGTAAGATGAATGAATCAAATATGGTAGCACAATGAAACAAAAGATATCAACCATATAAAATTAATCCATTGGATTTAAATTTCAACAATGTCAACAGGGGCCTATACAAAGTGAATGTTTCTTACCCGAATCCAAGTTGTCGACAAAGCACTTCAGAGTTATTCTCTGCCCAATTAGAGGTGCATAATGCTTGGAATGCAAAGTCATCAGATGGAGCTATTTCTACTCGTCCAAAACTTGCCTTGTCTCCACCAATTAGGCGAATATTATAGTCTTGAGCTGTTGACCGACTGTCATCTAGCAAACAAGTCAAACAAATTCTTGTGCTAACAAGGATATAGTCATCAAGATCCCCCGCCCATGTTCATTTGTAAAATATATACATTTAAAATGAGCAACATGGAAAACTAGACGAGATATCAGTCAATCAGGTCACAGCATCCTCATTAATTATACGCTGATTTCGCCGTTAATCAAACTTGGGCAAAGGATTAAGATAACAAGTGTACCAACCAAGTTTCATCAAAATCCTACCAGTCCTTCCAAAGATATAATACGGAAAGCAGCAATCGAGAGTGATTAAAGAAATCGGCAGATCAAGTCACAGCAGTCTTATGAAATAAGTGCTTATTTCGCTGTTAATCAATCTTGAGCAAAGAATTAGGTAACAAGTGTACCAAGCAAATTTTATCAAAATCCAACCAGTCCTTTATAAGATATCATGCAGAAAGCAGAATTAGGACAGACGAATTGATGGATGAATGGACG